CCACTTCTATCAATAAGAAGGATACTACGACCACACCAGAGGCCGCATTATCTTGGTCTTCATATATTCATTTGCCTCATTTAGATCGCGAAGTTAGGCGCATTAAAAAGCGACTAGGCCGGCGGCCAGCCAGCTTTTCACTTGGTTTAGTCTATTTTCGGTCTATTTCGTGAAGTATGCATGCCTGCTCTGATGGTGTCTGTCACGGTGGTACAGACGAAGACTTAGCACAGGTTGATTGGGGTCGCCGGACTTGTTCGCACATTTCAACCGTCTTCCCTACGCCGCACTCCTCCTTTGGCTTGCGGCGAGACCGACTTTCCCTTCGAAATGCAGAGGCATGTCACAATGTTTCATTGAAGAATTCTTCGAAGCCCAATTCGTCTTCATATCTTCACACACTTTTGCATGCAATGCAGGCAGGTTAAGTCAACATTGGCATACTCGCTGTTTCCCAGAAAGCCAGTCTCCATTTCGGGCATATAGTTGTGTGAACTGGTACACGTCTGTGTGTATGAATGTGTGCCGGTGCCAACCTGTGTGTGCTGAACGACCGGCCGAGTCCCGACCTCTCTCCTTCTTCCGGCTTCCACGTCAACGTGACTTGCTACTTTGGCCTTTTCACGTCTTACTGCACATGCCTAAGCACTTCCAAGACCCGCTGCTGTCCGAAGTCGCATCCAAACGACGTCGCCACCCACATCGCCTCTTCTGCTATCACTCTCTCTCTCTCTCTACAACATAAAAGTTTACTTCATTTTTGCCGCTTGACCTTGGCCGGGTTGGTGTCCCGTTTGCGCTTTAGTCTTGACCTCTGCCGGCTTTTTGACTTTCAGAAAAGTCTGGACAGTCATGCTTCTCAGTCGGTCACCCAAAACTGAGGCTTGCCTCCGTTTCTCCGGTCGGTTCGATCATCTGCCCCACAGGCTCCGTGCCGTCCTCGCAAGGGGGGCATGCTTTGTGTGCATTTTTGGCACGGTCCCGGCGACTGGGTGTGATTTGCCGGTTGACCGGATGGCCCCGAGGCCAATTCGTCAGCTGGCGGGACTCGGAGCCGTGCACCATCGTCCCGTTTGGCCGCAACAATTGGCCACTCAGCGCAGACCGAACGCTCCGACCGTCGGCGGCTACAAGTCACCTCTTCGTGCCTTTTGGAAGGACGCATTTTCTACTCTTTCGCGATGAATGGGCTGTCGGGAGCATCGGTAGATCTTGAGACGGCATTGCAATCAGCCTCGGTCGCCTACGCTGATTAAGGCCTGAGAGTGACTTTTGTCAAAATGAGGTGAACTTTCACTCAACTG